TTAGAGGTACTTGTGTAAGGGACTAACTTTTCTTACCAGAAAATAGAAATAAAGGTATAATCTATATTTCCATTTAAGTGCACACACACACACACACACACACACACACAGGCCTTGCACCTAGCAGATAATGTTATTCATTTGGAGCCAGCTGGTGGCATAGTGGTTAGGGCACTAGACTCCCACATGGTCAAACATGGTTCAAATCCTGGACCTGGCAGCTGGATTTCTTTCCTTCTCTCTCTCTGGTGAGCACACATACTCTATAGCACATTTTAATAATAATAATAAATTATTTCTTAAATTACTCATTTCATGTACTTATATCACCATTGTCATCAAATTTCCCCACACAATCTTCTAATTTAGCTCTTTAACTAGCACAACTTAGGAGACGTAAATTCTATATCTCTTAAACTCTCAGTTTTTACGTGAGAAGCACTTTGGCATGGTAAGAGCTTAGAATGGAGAACTAGAAAGCCTGGGTTAAAAAGTCAATTCTGCTACTAACTAGATTTGTGATCTTGAACTACTCATTAGTCTCTCTGACCTTCAATTTTTTTTCATCTGTTATACAAGAGGATTGAACTTCATTACCTTTAAGGTGCCTTTTAGCTTTAACATTTCATGATGATGTGATTTTACTCTCTTTTAATTCTCTAAGATAAATAAAGTCCTCCAGCTTTAAGGAGCACCAGCCTTAGTAGAGAGGCATCTTATTTGTTTTGTTCACACTGTTATTGGCATGACCTTTATGGAGCATTGCCCCCTGCGACACATGATAGAATACCAAAAGTCACAGTCCACAGCTCGATCTAATGAAAAATACAGTTTTAATTGTGAGTTGGCCACTCTCACAGTGTTACCTTAATGAGACAGCAAAGCGCCAGAACTAGATCTCCCTTGTAAATACATACCCTGGTTTGCAGATTTCCTAATTCATAGTGACAGTATTGTGCTTAACTATAAACACACTGTGAACTTTGCAGTCCTGAAGCAAGAGCAAACAATTTAAGAATGCCCTGCAAGTTTACAGCCTTTAATCTTAAAGCGAGTCGGCCATTTTTAAACTCGCTCTCTCTGTGGTGATATGCTCACTAACTGCATTCTGCTATAGTCTAGAATGTCCCTTTTTCATCTATTAATGCCACCTTGCCTTCAAAGTCTTTATAAATAAAAATGCTAATATTTACAATATGTTTGAGATTAGTGTACTCACTTTGTCTGAGAAGCTTTTTTCTCACAAACTAGATGACTTTATCTTTTTTTTTTTTTTTTTTTTTTTTTTTTTTTTTTTTTTTTTTTTTTTTTTTTTTTTAGTTTTGATCATAGGATGTGAGCACTCACAAGAGAGAGACAGAGAGAGGGAAAGTGATAAATCACCTCAAAAAAGAGGGGAAGTGAGAAATCACCCCAGAAGGGATGGCCACATTGCATTCCCTTCTTATCTCAGGATTTTGGACATGCATGGACACATGCCTGGCATGATTTTCAAGCTGCCGGGTTCGGGACTCGACCCACAGTCATCCATGTGGAAATCAACCATTTTAACCACCACACCACATTCTGGCTCTCTATGTTGATTACTCTTAATGGTTAACCTGTCTTTCATCTCCACAGTTGAAGAAAAGATATTCCTTCTTTATTATATTGAGCCTCTCTACTGTCCTCAAAATTCCATGCTTTATGTAAAGATCACATTTGGAATTTAAAATGTTCCTTCATTCTCATTTTGAGTTACGTCATGTTTATTTCCTGTTTAAATCTCTCCCTAGCTTCCCTCTATCATTAAGAGAAATCAAAAATCTATTTCTAGTCTACAGAGTATGTGTTTAGCTACTTGCCTAATTCTACGGCATCATCTCACTCTGTTCCCTGATCCCTTTCCCACTAACTTTCACTCTAATCACACTAAATCTTTCTGGTGGCACAAATTTTCTCAAGTGAGGTACTTGGTAAAAAGCTGTGAGGTTATGACAGCCTGTGGCTTAGCAGTTAAGGCAGTTGGATCCCGCATAGCTGACTCCAAGATTCTGGTGGCTTGAAGGACAAGCTAGGCACGTGCATGTGGCACGTGCCCACAATCCTGAAAGGGGAATGGAAGAGAAGGAACTGAGTCCTAGCCATCCCCCACAGAGGAGAGGGCGCTTTCTCACTCTCCCTTTCTCAGCCTCTCGAGCAAATTTTTAAAAAGAGAGTGATAAAAGAGGAAAAACAAAATAAACAGTATCTTATTTTTCTCTTAGTTTGATCTAAGCTATATGACATTTACATATCTTTTGTAAAGATTTTATATTTGAAACCTGACTAGAAATAACATTAGCAGGCTTCACTGTTATTCAAAAGAGGACACAATCTGGCTATAGCATAATAATTGAAGTAATATAACTAATTCTGCTTTCCCATCCCTGGTCAAAACTCATGGACAGATTTTGGTATTCTTACCTGTGCTTTTCTTTCCGCCCTGAATCCTGTTCTTGATTATCCTCCAAATCTGTATCCTAGTGTCACCCTTCAAAACACCATATGTATCTATACTTATGAAACATTTTACTATTCTATTTTCACAGTTCTTATCCCATAGTTATTTTGTGTCAATCTTCATTGATATTACTTCATACAACTCATTCATTTATAGAATCATTCACGTGAATTTACTAAGGACCACTTCTGTGTTAGTCCTAGTCTTTTTGTTTTATCCTTTTTTTTAAAATCCTTTTCCTTAATACCACGAAGGTGTATTATTCATACCTCAGATTTAACTCTCCTATCTTTCGATCATTCTTTATGTTCCTGTATATGACTATCACTCCAACCCAACTGCAAGTTTCTTTTAAACAGGAATCCAAAAGATAGAATGAACTTCTCTATCTGCACTTTGCATAGAATGGATGAAGAGTGTTTACTAAATATCATTTTATTAACATAATTAATTTCAGTGAGAAAGCATGTTTGTGCCACTTGTGAAAGCAAGTGTTACCTCTGAGTGAAAGGCAAATTTGCCCTTTCCTTCTGAAGGGTTGCTCACTTAAGGGCACCGACTGAATAAATAAATGACAATGGTTATTCTTTTTAGTTTTATTAAATTTGATTGTGCTCATTTGTAATTGTTAGAAATATGCTTAAAATAGCTGGGTAGCCTTGATTCCAATATATGTTTAGATTTAATTATAGGGAATAAAGGTTAAATGATGTGAGAACACATGCTGAGCTCAGCCTTGAAGACTGGCATGAAGAAATCAACACATTAAAGAAGAGAAGAAATAAGTGGCACTTTTGCCATTTCAATTTAATTCTACTGCTTTTCTAATGAAAATTCACCTAAACACAAAGTACCTTACTAATTATCTAATCACAGCAGGAAAATAATAAATGGAAACTGTACAATTGTATTTAGAATTGTGCTCAGAACTGCTTCCCACTTGACTCTTCCCTGAGGTATGTTAACCAACAGTGAGGTTTTAATGTATTACCCTAAAAAAAAAAAAAAGAAGTCTAAACATGAATTCGCCTTTTCTTTTGCCACTTTAAGATACCTAAATGTTGATTTTTTTGGATTTAGCATAATTTCTGTATTTCATGTTTGCCTTCCATTTGCTAGTCTCTAATGAAAAATCATTCATTGGTGGATGAATAATCTTTGCTTCATTTTAAGATGTTCAAACTAGTGAAAAGAAAGATGATCTAATGAACAGAACACAAATTCACTACCTATGTACATGGATTCTAGGAAGATTGCTGAAGTTATGATTGTTCAAAGGCATGATTTTAGGAAGATTTGTTCAACAATACTCAAACTTAGAGTAGAGGAAAGCATGAAGATGGCCAGACAGTGGCATGGTATTTGAGGTGACTGGACCCCACATGGCCGACTGTGCAGTTCAAGTCCCAGACCCAGTGACTTGAAAACACACATGTGCCCAAAATCCCAAAAGGAGAAATGGAGAAGAAAAGATTATGGTGTTATCATCCCTTATGAGGGTGCTTTTTACTTCCCCTTTCTCTGTCTCTCCTCTAGTAAGTGGACATGCACTCTGGCAAACACACACACACACACATACACACACACACACAACCAAACAAATAAACCATAAAGAAATGACTGTATCTCAAAATAAAGATTTGTTCTGAGAAGTTTTGTTTCTTTAGCCACCAGAAAAATGATTCTACTTTGATTAAAGGCTCAGGAAATTAAATATTTTCCTTTTTTCTTTTTCTCTAGCAATATCCTTTCCATCCATAGTCAGAAAAAAGAATTATTCAAGACAGTTTGTGTTAAAGATAAATCTAGTTTATGTCTATTTATTCTTTTTTTTTAAGCAATGAAAATGGCTCTTGCAATAAAGAGAAATAGGTAGTAAGTGGCCTAAATAGGTTTAGAGATGTTCCAATATTTTCAAATAAACTCAAAATTGTAGGATTCAGTCAACCAACCCCTTAAGTGTATATAAAAAAGTTATGATCTTAAAGTCACAACTAGAAATATCTACAGAATAATAGTCATCAAAAGCAGCAACAAGGGACCAGCAGATAGCGTAATGGCTGTGTCTCTGGACTCTCATGTAGTTGACTGTCGTTCGAGTCCTGGTCCTGGTGACTTAAACTCATGCCAAGTGGGTGTGAGTGTGTGCCCAAGATCCCAAGAGAAGAGTGAAGGAGAAGGGATTGCAATGTGGCCATCCTCTCTGGGGGGTGACTTTGAGCACATGTGCCCTATAGCAAAAACCTCTCCAAAATAAAATAAAATAAAATAAAACAAAAAGCAGCAACAGATTGGAAACAGGCAAATAAACTTTCCCTATAGATGATTACATCTTTTCTTTGTTTGCATGGCAAATTTTGAAAACTCTTTTAGAAACTCTGAGAAAAGTGACGAAAAACAAAGAGTTTGAATATATGAAATAAAAACAACACCTACTGGCTAGCAATACGAGCTATTCAATCAAGATTATTGTTATTATTATTTTCTGTTATTACGACATGTGCTTTTATGACCCCCAAAGGGGCACACCATTCTTGGAAGTACTGCAATACCAAGTCAAAGTGTGGAGTGGACAGAGCAATCTCCTCTTCCACCTCCCTGCTCCAAAAATCCATTTAATATATTGTCCTCGGAGAGAGGTGTGTCAGATATTATACTGATAAGAACAGATACTACACTGGATCTTAGCCAAAAGGCTGAGAAGTGATCAGATCACTTATTTTAAGGATAAAATTTGTTGATTGGTTTCTCAAGGAAATGTCACAAATGATCTTGATTTTAACCAAGCATCCAATTATAATCTTGTAGATAAAATATATAGCTGTGTATTAGGCAACAGTATAATAAGTAAGATTCATTATTCACTAAACAATTAAACTCCAGTTATGATTAGTGGATGCCATCTTGTATGAATTATTTTCAATGATAAAACATAAGACTATTGTAGACAACATTTAAACTGATGACTTAGAAGGCACAAAAATGTGGTTTCCAAATACAAAAATCATTTAAGAAAATCAAGATTTAAAATCGTTTCCTTGGTATGCTAAACTAAATCTAAAAACTTTAATTGAAATGCAATAATTACTAAGTTTTAAAATTGAGTTAAAAACTAAATCAAACAAATACAAGCAAAGGTCCAAGGTTGTGGTGATTATAAAACGGATTTAATTTTTTTTTTTTTTTTAAGATAGAAAGCAAGAAATCACCCCCTCAGGGTGATGGTCAAACCACAATCCCTTCTCCATTCCTGTTTTAGGACTTTGGACACGAGTGTATGCACACATGTACACACACACACACACACACACACACACACAGGATGAGTTTCAAGCCATTGGGTCCAGGACTTGAACTGTGGTCAATCATCTGGGGGTCCAGTGCCTTAACCATCGCACCATCTGTGGACCCCTGAATGCATTTTAACATACAAACTGAGCCAACAGTGATATAAAAAATTGACTTAAGATTAATATAAAAATAAATGAGCATACATAAAAGCTAACTTCATTTTTTAGTTGTAAGAAACAGAAATGTGGTTTCCTAGTCACAGATATAAGTCCTCTGTTGCTATTCAGTACTGATTAGTTCAGATTTGTGAGACTGGTTTCTTTTCACTTATTCATTTCTTATTCATTCAATATTATTATTAAGCTCATGTCATAAATAAGGTAAAATGCCATTTTAAAAAGTCCTCCTGATTTTTTTTACAGAAAAGTGGTAGTTACAGGCTTCCAGTAGGAAGGCAATTAAAATGATGATGACCCCAAAAGCCATGTCACATAAATAGTTAAAGAAAACTGAGATATTTTCACTGACAAATAGAATACCCATAGAATATACATTCATACATTTGGAGAGCTGTCATAAAAACTTTTTTGTGTTTTCTCATAAGATATAAGTAAGGCTAACAGGTAATAATCATTGAAAGGCAAACAGGGACCTAAAAGTGTGAAGAATTTTCCAGTAATTTGAATTGCTCAGCAAGAAAAGAGACCTCCGTGTGAATATCTGTATCTCCTACTGTCATGTGTTAAAACAGGCTCCTAGGGATGGGGTAGAGCGCATTCTTGTACCTAAGCAGGCTGGCACAGGGAGGAGGACAAAATTAGCGAAGGAATGGTGACTGTAGACAATTGCATTCAGGGAGGTTACACTATATATAAAAAATCATTGCTTAGATAACTTGGCACATTTTAAAACATTTATCCTGTTTACCCTGGGACCAATCAGTTTCATTCTCTTCCATTTAGACATTTATCCCATGTGCCAAGCCTCAGGGCCCTTTTCTGCCAGCTACTCCTTGCTTCTACCTTCAGGGGATCTATCTACTTATTATTCTCTGGGTCCCTTAGAGGAATCATCTCTCAGAGGGTTTCAACCCTAAGTATTTAGCTTTAGGCTGAATTCTCTGGAGCTGCCTGAACTCCAACACACACTCGCTTTTCCAGGTACTGTGCTGGGAATTTCCCTGACTAGCCTGTCTAAGCTCTAGGCATTGAGTAGCTCACTGTGTCCCTCTGAACTGAATCTCCATATTTTAAAGAGCACACGCTGTGTTTTTCTTGGTCTTCTTTACTAAATTTGCTCTTATGGATTTTCTGGGAATGAGTGCCCCAGCCCTTACAATGGAGCTCAATTTATCCATTGACTCTACTCTGTTCCAGAAATATCTAGGATACCTTGTCATATACCGTCCCATCTTCCCTTCAGCACTAAGCTTGAAGGCATTCAATTTCTCATGAAGGTTCATTATCTCTCTTTTAATAGAATCACAAATATAGCCCTTTCCATCTTTAATTTGCCAAGTAGCTAGATACATTAAAGACGAAAGAAAATGTCTCTAAAATAGTTAAATACGAAAGGATGAAAGAACATTGGCAACCAATAGAAAAATTTGAATCACAGCAATAAAAAATGAAGGGAAATGCCATTATTGAGGTTAGTGTCAATAATCTGGGGGACAGTGAGGCCAAAATCTCAAATAGACTGAATAAGGACTCAGACCATAGAAGTTCATGGAAACAATGGTTGTAAACAGAAAAATATACAGTGTATTCATGCTGGGAGAATGCATTTTACATGCTGTAATAGTTTAAAATGTATAAAAATATTTAAAAAATGTAAGAGGCACAAAAATAGAAAATTATCCATTGGTGATAATGTGTATGGTAAGATCTCTGGGCTAATATACAGTGCATTTTCATGCTGGGAAAATGGATTTGTATGCTGTTAAGATATATAGCGATTGACTGTTAAAATGTAAATAAAAATTAAGATAATAACAGAATAATGTATTGAAGAAGGTTAAAGATATCTTTGCAACTCAGGAGAAAGAAAGGCCGAATTTCAATATGGACTAGAGGGCATTTGACAAGAGGAACTGTGCAAAGGAGAAAGACTTGTTTAGATATTTTGTCTTCTTTAACTTCACAGATGTGGAATAAATGATTACTTTGCTTTGCCTGTGCAGCGAGTAAATCACTATAGATCACACGCTATAGATCACACACCCGCACATGCACACACACACACACACACACACACACACACACAAAACCTCCTGAAATGAACAATGACAGCGATCAGAAAAGAAAGACCTTTGCTTTGCACAACTAAAATGCACACTGGCTCTTTAAGCTGAGTACTTTCCTGGGCATTACTGACTCACTAGAAAAGACAGCTTTATTCATAACTTTTACAAATGAAGTATCTAAAAATATATAATGATCTTTGAAAATATGATATCCACATTAAAAATAAAAGTCTGTTTTCACTGTAGAATAACAGCAACATGGAGGAATTTTTTTTAGTTTTAATTTTCTTTTTTTTTTAAAGGAGATTTTTGCTCTAGGGCATGCGTGCTCACCAGAGAAAGAGAAAAACAGAAAGTAAGAAATTACCCACCAGAGGGAATGGCCACATTGCAATCCCTTTTTCTCTGTTCTCCTCTTGGGATTTTGGGCACGCACGGACACATGTCTGGCATGAGTCTCAAGCCACCTGGTCCAGGACTTGAACCACGGCCGGCCATGTGGGAATTCAGTGATGTAACCATTATGCCATCTGCTGGTCCAGTCTTTTTTTTTGGTTTTGTTTTGTTTTTTTAAGTACACATTGTATTTTTTAATTGGCAGTCAGCATTCTAAAGACTAAACTCCCTTGAAAAGCTTCTAGCAAACAAGTAAGCATTATTTTCTAAAAAAATTTCTCATCTCTGAGTCTTCCTTTGCTAGCAGGATAAACATTTTTATACAGATGAGAAAATTGGTTCTATATGTGCTAGAGCTTAATCATGTATGCACAATGAAAAAAACCACGAGAATCAGAATTTACATAAAAGACTACTGTGTACTGGTTACCTATTCCTAAGTGGTAAAATTACTATAAAACTCAGCATTTTAAAACAATGAACATCTATAAGATCATAGTTTTTGTGGATTAAGAAATCTAAGTATGCTTTAGCCAGGTGCCTCTGGCTTAGAGTTTCTCAAAAGGCTGCAATCAAGTTGTTGGCTAGGGTTACAGTCCTCCCAAGGCATAAATGGGAAACAATCCACTTTCAAGCCCACTCACATGGCTGTTGGCAAGGCTCGGATTCTCACTGGATGTTGGCCATAAACATTGCTTTCTTGCCACATGGAACTATCAATAGGGCTTCTCACAACATGACAGCTTGCTTTGCTCAGCAAACAAGTAAGGAAGAGAGTTACTGAGCATGCATAGGATGAATGCTGGAGTGTTTTTGTAACTTATTTTCAAAAGTAATATTCCATCTCATCTCCTACATTACAGTCATGAAAATGAGCTGCTAAATCCAAACTCTTGTATAAATCTTTAGTGGGAAAACATATGCATATCAAGCTGCAAAGATCATTAGGAACCAAGTGGCTGCCTACCACAAAGTCTTTTCTTACACACACAAGATTCCTTTTGGCTTCTTCTTATCTTATAAAACAATGAAAGAAATGGCCACACAAGAATATTTGTCCTATTTAATATCCTTTGATTAAATTTAACCAAAGAAATTTCAAAAGTTAGCTTGAGTAAAACATATTTAAATGCATTTTTTATCACGATATTAAGAAAATACATTTAAGTATCTGTTTTATGAGAGTTTTATGCGATAGGGCACTTGCACTTGCCTGAGAGACAGAGACAGACAGACAGAAAGTGAGACCTCCCCCAACGGAGATGGCCACATTGCAATCCCTTCTCCTCCATTCTCCTCTCAGGATCTTGGGGCACACATGCACACGTACCCAGCATGAGGTTTAAGCCACCAGGTCTGGGACTCGAACCGCTGTTGACTATGCGGGAATTCAGTGATGTAACCATTATGCCACCAAGAAAATACATTTTAGTATCTTCATAAGTATCTTAATGCAGTTTGACATACTAAATTTAAGTCATAAAAGAATAATGACACTATCTGCAAAAGTTGGATGAAAAAAATGTCATATTTTAAAAATCTGTGAAAGATCTATAGAAGTAGTGAACATTAAATGAGCTAAAATTCCAAGGAGGGGAACATATCCTTAGGAAGGTGAAATTTTCAGTCATTTATTTTCCCCTTGGGGTCATATGACAATTTTGGGTGTAGCCTGAATTGGATTGCTCAGAAGAAACCTAGCAAAAAGAGAATCCAACCAAAACATCAGTAGTCCAAACAAGACTGATAGAGCAAAATAAATACTTGAAGAGACTC